GCCGAGAGGGCGTGGCTGCAGGACAGCCTGGAGGACGTCCAGGCGGAGATTCGAGAGCGAGGGTGAGTGCGCCCGCCTAGAGCCTGCAGCAGGACGATGAGAATCCGTTTACATATCTAACCATGATTTCACCACAGCATCGAGAACAACGCGGCCGTCAAAATAGCAACCCTGGTGGGCGAGACGATGCCACGCGTGTTCAAAGGGGAGACCACCATGCTCGAGCATCTTCGCACATCGGGTCTGCTGGACGAGTACTATGCCAACGGCGTCGGCACGTTGGAGTCGACCGCTTGGCTCGGGGGCGCCGTCCGACAGCTCACCGATCGGTGCCCTCACCTCAAGATCATGGAAGTCGGCGCAGGAACAGGTGATTCGACGTCTTGCTTCTTCTTCCTCCGTGACCCCGGACGCTAATCTATACATTATGAGCAGGAGGCGCCACGAAGCGCATTTTAGCAGCCGCCGGCCACAGCTTTGACTCGTATACCTTCACTGACATCTCGTCCAGCTTCTTCGAAAAGGCGGCCGTGGTTCTCGAGCCTTGGCAGGATAAGATGATCTTCAAAGTGTGCGACGTCGAGAAGGATCCTATCGCGCAGGGTTTCGCAGAGGAAGTATACGACGTCGTGGTGGCGTCTTTTATTCTCCATGCCACGGCCCAGCTGGACAGAACCGTCCGGAACATACGCAAGCTCGTCAAGCCGGGTGGCTACCTCGTGATAGGAGAAGGCACAAACAATGGTCCCTTTCAGTCTGGCGACGGCCTCATCTTCGGCACCCTACCAGGATGGTGGCTCGGTGCGGACGAGGGTCGCACTCTGTCCCCCTTTGTGAGCGCGTCGCAGTGGGATACGATTCTTCGACAAAACGGCTTTTCGGGGCTTGATACCACAGCGCCAACGCAGTTTTTTGGGGCCTTTGGCGTTGTTCTGGCCGTGAGTCAGGCTATCGATGACAGGGTGGCGTTCCTCCGTGAACCCCTGGCCGCGCCGTCGTCGTCGAGCCGGCCCAAGATCGCCAAGCTGGTCCTGGTCGGCGGGGAGACGGACGCTGTCGCCCGCCTTGTCGAGGAGCTCGTCACTATCCTGGGGGACGTTTCGGAGAGCATCGTCACCTACAGGATCCTCGACGACATCGATTTTGCCGTGTGCGACGAGACCGCCACCGTCCTCGTCGTTTCGGAGCTCGACGGTCCCATCTTCAAGAGCTTGCACCCAGCAAAGTGGCACAGCTTCCGTGAGCTCTTTGTCGGCAAGAGGAGAGTTGTCTGGGTCACGGCGGGTCGGAACGCCGACGAGCCCTACAGCAACATGATTGTTGGTTTTGGGCGGGCTGCCAAGAATGAAAA